TTGTTGGTATACTATTAGGTTAAAGTTCCAAGCTCTGTTGCAATATTCTTTTTTCTCAATCAGTCATGCAGCCTGAGGGTGTTTCAACAAGTATTCAGTTATTTGATGACTGACATTTTTTAGCTCACCTGAGCCATAGGCTCAAGTGAGCTTTTCTGATCAAAATTTGTCCGTTGTCTGTCGTCGTCGTTGTCGTTGTTGTCGTTAACTTTTTACATTTTCATCTTCTCAAGAACCACTGGGCCAATTTCAACCAAACTTGCTACAAAGTATCCTTGGGTAAAGGGGATTCAAGTTTGTTCAAATAAAGGGCCAGGCCCTTTTCCAAGGGGAGATAATTATGAATAAGAGAAAAAATAATGACATTTTAAAAAATCTTCTTCTCAACAACCACTGGGCCAGGAAAGATGAAACTCATTTGGAATCATCCTCAGGTAGTGTAGATTCAAGTTTGTTCAAATCATGACCCCCGGGGGGTCGGGTGGGGCCAAAATGGCCGATCAAAGTTTTACATAGGAATACGTAGGAAAAATCTTTAAAAATCTCCTCCTCAAGAACCACTGGGCTAGAAAAGCTGAAACTTACGTGGAAGCATCCTAGGGTAGTGTAGATTCAAATTTGTTCAAATCATGACCCCTGGGGGTAGGGTGGGGCCAAAATGGCCGATCAAAGTTTTACATAGGAATATATAGGAAAAATCTTTAAAAATCTTCTTCTCAAGAACCACTGGGCCAGGAAAGATGAAACTCATTTGGAATCATCTTCAGGTAGTGTAGATTCAAGTTTGTACAAATCATGACCCCAAGGGGTAGGGTGGGGCCAAAATGGCCATGCAATCCAAGTTTTACATAGGAATATATAGGAAAAGTCTTTAAAAATCTTCTTCTCAAGAACCACTGGGACAGAAAAGATGAAATTCATGTAGAATCATCCTCAGGTAGTGTAGATTCAAGTTTGTTCAAATCATGACCCCCGGGGGTAGGGTGGGGCCAAAATGACCGATCAAAGTTTTACATACAAATATATAGGGAAACCTTTTAAAATCTATTTTTCACGTACTTCAAAGCCATTGCTTAATGATATTTATTTATTAATCATCCTCAGGTAGTGTAGATTCTAGTTTGTTCAAATCATGACCCCCTGGGTAAAATTCAAGCCTCCTTCCCTCCCCCCCCCCCAGTATACTTTCAATTCTGATCTCATCTGTGCTTTTTCCTAGCCAATTGCTCAGGTGAGCGATGTGGCCCCTGGGCCTCTTGTCATACTAATTTTTGGTCCATTATTTAAATATAAAATTGACGACAGATTTTTCAGTACATACCTATAGAACAAACACAGATATTGCAAATTCATAGAACTTCTATATAGATAAGTTAACTTGGATCCCATTTAATATAAATTTAGCATATTCCTTATACGGATATAACAAATTACATATATTATAGCATAGGTCCCAGTGACTTTGTTATAACTGAGTTTTACTGTAATAGACTTTATATGCATGGTTCTGGACTACACAAATGAAATACTTTGAGGACCACCAAATACTTTGATCAGAAAGCTCACGAGCTAAATTTGACCCTGCATGGATTTAAAACTCAAGGCTGTGGGTCCCCCAATTTGCAAGATATATTAAACTGACACCATTGAAAGGTAGGGGAGTTGAGTTCCTTGAAATGAGCAAAAAATACTTATCAAAGGCAATTTTTGTTTAAGGAGGCTGGAGGGTCAACAAATAAATCCCAAATTAACCACCAGATTTAAATTATTTTTTTACCAGGTACATACAGTATCTTTAGCTGTCAACTATCATTTGACAAAGAAAGAATTCATATATTTTAGTTTTAAAATTTGATCATTTTTTATATCTTTATATGGAGCTCTCCTTTTAAAGGAGATTGAAATAGTCTAAAAATGGCTGCCAACCCCTAGCCTCATTAAAACAAATTTCTCAAAATTAAAATGCTATCTTTGAAGTGAATTTTATCCCCAGAATGTATACAGAATCAACATCAGAATCAAAATATGACTTCTTCAGCCTGTTGAAAGAATATTCCATATTTGAACATTATGTATAAAGATGCCCAATATTTGTTTTCCTTAAATTTTTCATGTCCTATACGTACATGTACTATACTGTAAACGTATTACATTTAATGTAATTGAATTTGCCAAAGTTTGGCAGTGTACTCCTTTTAGCACTTTGGGCGGAAAGATTATTGTGTTCGCTAATTCAAGTACATCGCTAAATATCTTACACATTTAGACATGGATAAGAACATCAAGAAATGCGCTAAATCAAATCTACGCTAACTTGTTTAAAAATCACTTTCCGCTAAATATTGTACACGCCAAATATAATACATTAAAATTTTACAGTAATTTATAATACGTGATCACATATGGCCTCAATTTCCCAATCCCAGGAGCTCGTGCCCTATTTATTAAAATGTGAAAAATTCTTTATCAATGCAATGTTGTTATAACTTATTGTTGATGTCTATATGAACACAATTCCTTTCAAGAGATCGAGCTACATATGGTGTCAGTTTAAGTATCTATTAATTGTATTATCTGCTCAAAGGCAGGGGTATCCTCCAGAGCCACCGGAGTCATTGTGGCCCACTTTCGAGTCTCCATGTAATGCTCCTATCCTCTATCCTCTATATTACATGAGCCCCCCAAGTGAGTATATGTGCACCGTATATATACAATGAAAAGTATGCAATTCAATCTTTTAAATAAAACACAATGTCTCTTAATTTAATTACTTCTTTTTTTAATTCATGTTTTAATTGTATTATGCATAATTTTTTTTTTCATTTTATATACAGTTGTCACACACTTGTATCAGTATCTATTCTACAAGCAATGGATAATGAAATATATCAGAAATAAGATTTAATTGATACAGGTTTGTTAATTAAATAATTATGAAAAGACATGAAGAAAATCTTCATATTATTCTTTTTTCATGCCCAAGTATGTGTCTGTGTAACTAAATCATCATCAGCTGAATACTACAGAACAAGACAATAAATAGGGTTCTACAAAAAAAGATATCTGATACAATATAAATCACTGATAATCCTTGTACGACTCCTCATTGCCAAGTGAATAGATTGTCCACTGCAAGCTGAATTTCTACTATGAAAGCTCTGCAAAGTTATTCAAAATTTACTGCTGTAATGAAACAAGAAATGGTCCTAAAATTCAATTATTCAGTAAATCACTAATCAATTTCATGCTTCAAGACTTTGCTATGTGTTGCCATAAAAAACACGATAATAAATTGATTCTATGTGTTATCATATAGTTCTATATGTTATACATTTAGGTTTGATTTATGAGAGACATCTATATCTAAACAAAAAAAAGAAACATGTCTTGTTTTAATAGGGGAAAAATTACATAAAGTAATAAAACCCATAAAATATGCCCTGCTAACACAACCAGTTTAATTTGCAGTAAATCAATCATAAGTAAACTCATGCAAATCAAACTCATGCGAATCAAACTAATGCGAATTAAATTGTGTTCATGCATACATCAGCTAATGCAAAGTAAAGTTTTTCTTCTACAGTCAGGCATCAGTCAGCCTGGCTCAAAATTTAATTCAAATTAGCTTGGCTTAGCATTCACACAGAGCTAATGTGAAGTAACTAGCACAGTAAATGAATTCAAATTAAACTAATTTACATTAACTTAAGTTTAATTTGAATTAAACTCTGCATGTGAGCAGGGCATTAAAAAGTACAAGTAAATGTATTTTTAACAAATTGCAAATCAGTAAATTGGGAAAATCCTGAAGTCCAAGGGCTACTATACTGTGTCAGCATATAAAAATTGACCACAGCATCTGAAAAACAAAAGTTTAAAAATGCCAAAATTTGTATTTCATTTGCACAAAGAAGAAGGTATGGTTTCCATAAAAAATTGCCCTGTGATTCTTTAAAAATTGAAACTGGTGTAAAAGTTGAAAACTCATGTTTTTTAAATAATTGAAATTCGATACAGAAAAATCAAACAAGTCATTCTCACATGTGTTTTTTAATGCTAATTATGACGTCATAAACATGTACATTAATTTTCCCGTGTTTTCTTAAAAAGTTGCAGAAGACACCAATTTTCAATTAAATTTTCTTTCAGATAACATTGTCCACAGGCATCGCTTGCAAAGATCTTGAGATATTTGATTTATTGAATTTTGCATAAAAATATCAAAAAATTAACAAGGTAGACGGCTGTGAACAATGTTTTCTAAAGGAAAATCACCCTTGAAATGTGCCATTTTGAGGCTTTTTCAGTTGAAAATAGAGAAATGCTTCACATTTATGACGTCATATTTGCAGAATGGTTAACCTTCATGTCATATTCTTTCCTGATTTTATCAGTCATTTATTCAACTAATATTTAAGCAAGTTTCAGAACTTTTTGATGTCATTACATTTTTAGGGCGCAATTAAGCTAAAACCATACTTTCTTCTTACTAAATTGATAAACCTAATGCATTGTAGAAATGCAGTTGCTGTTGCATATGGTGGAGTCAAGCAGACTTGTATGTAGCTGCAGATCTGTAGCTCTCTGCTTGAGAAAATTCGGGCAGATAAAGCAGAGAGCTACAGATCCAAGCGTTGTAAAAACCTTCGATTTACGCCGACGATTTTTCGTCGCTCACTTCGTGTATTTTGCTAGTATTTTATACATTCCCCAGCTTAAAAATTTATATTTAATAAGTAATCATACATTTAACTTCAATTCCTGATAAGGTACTTACCTTTCACATGTGTATAAACGCTAACATATTGCTTTGTGTTTACGGACTTTTAAGTCTTTTAAACCGATATTATAAAACTATATACAGGAGTGTTTCGGACCACTCTAAGGTAAATAAATTATCAACAAAAAATAGTTAAATACCGGTATATGATTAATTATAGGTTACCTTTCTAAGAGCAAGAGAAAGTTAAAACTACACGAAATAAATGCCTACAGTAGCGACGAAAAATCGTCAGCGTAAATCGAAGGTTTTTACAACGCTTGGATCTGTAGCTCTCTGCTTTATCTGTCCGAATTTTTTTCAAGCAGAGAGCTACAGATCTGCAGCTAACTTGTATGATGTAAATGGATGATCAGCAGAGGGGATTTTAGAAGAGGAACATATTACTTTGTAAGGTTTAAAGCAATCTGACATTTCGATAAACCAGAAGTCTCTGTCAAGTGTGAAGCTCTACTGGTTTGTACTTATAACAAAGGGAGAGTAACTTGAAACTTTAAAACAGTAACATCTAGAATAATGATTCTTGATTAAGTCATTTTTAATAAGCTGCAATAATGTAGCCCTCTCCGTTTTTTTTTTTTTTTTGGGAGAGGGCTACAACTCCTAAGGATCTTTGTAATGGTGCACAGCTGGAGCGATTCATTCCCGTACGGATTTCAGCCAAAATTGTCAATTACACTGTAATGGGTATTTTATTTATATGTCTTACCTGGGCCCAGACATAAATTGATCCAAAAATATACAGAAAAATCCATATATCCGTATTTTTCTTGTATGTCAACATCATAACTTAAAATTTATCCTCCATGTTTGATGACCTTGATAGATTTATTTTGGGACAGCTAATTTGATAAAGATCCTATAGGGAGCTGATATCTGAAATATTTTAAGCTTAAATAATGCTGTTTACGAAAAAATGACACATGGAATGATTTTATTTATCGATGTTTAGTGTTACTATTCATCATAATTATTTATTCATTGACAATTGCTATATTAAGTAATTCTAAATTTCAAGCCCAAGTCAGTACGTCATGCTTGAACTATAATGGCTGCTGGAAAAGGCAAACAGGTGTATTTTTCATGGTTTTCACGTTTAACGGGCTAATATGTTGTCAACAGTGAATAAAATACCATCTTATTAGAAATAAGCTGAATGTAAAAACATTTTGTACTGCCTGCAGTCGCATGTATTTAAAAAAATATCTTTGCACCATTAAAGAGATGCTGTGGAATTGTAGCCCTCTCCAGAAAACATCAAATAAAAAAAATCAGAGAGGGCTAGACAGACAGACAGCTATGCAAATAGACGGATGACAGACATCTTACTATCGCTTAAGCTCTTCTTGTTTCTGACCAAACGAACTTAAAGTTCAGATGTATTTAATGCTTGTTGCATTTCTTTTGTGACACGGTCTATTTTTAAAACTTCCTTGGCAGAAAAAAAATCAGACAGAAAGTTTTTGTACTCCCTTCTTGTATTTTAGTCTCCTCTGTCTCCTCAGATTAAACACTTTTATCCTGATCTTCTTGGTTTTCTCCCCAATAGGATAATCCCTTAGAATGTTTGGATTCTTGATGAGGAATTTTTTAATTTTCTTTGCCACTGTAAAGTTTAAGAAAGAAAGACTTCAATGATGTCGAACAAGAAAAACAATTTTAAAAGATCTGCAGACAGGTCAAGTGAGTGACTCCGGTAACATAAAAATAAAATAATAATCTTGACACAAATACAGTATCGGGCCTTATGGCCATGTGTCCTGGTCCAAATGAGTCAGGGTTTGAATTGACCACACATCGTCAGAAATGTCCATCCTCTATATCAATCTAATTTCTTTTCAGTCAATCGAAGACACATGAAGGGTTTCATAATTTTTAATTAATTGCCATTGTCAGAGCATTGTTCTGTTGTATAGTGATTGCATCTTAACTACATCCATGACTCTAACATGTCTAATGTTACAAGTACAATCGACTCACAATATGGCGTGTTTAACAAATGGAAGAAATGGATAAATACAGTAATACTGGCATTACTGGTCAATATCATCGGTTGTTCGGATGAAATCGGATTGAAGATCGTAAAAGTAAAGCCAAGATTAAGAAATTCAATCTTTATAGTCTAGTTGTATTCGTGTTTATTTTGTAATCATTTTACCATGTTTAAGACTGTTTGTATTACATTAATCGGTCTCAAGGTGTGATTCATGTCATTCGACTCATCCTCTCTGTAGAAATTCATCTGCAACAACCATAACGTTTTTCTTGCGTGAAAATTAAACATAATATCGTTGTTTTGTTGTAGTATTAATTGAAGATACAATTGATTTAATTGTATATTCAAGCTATTATTCATTGTGAATGTTTTAGAAGAAATTGGTATACAGCTGTTGCTATTTTCTATTGCAGATGCATCCACTGACACGTGCGGTCGCGTAAACCTGACTGATCGCTAGATGATGATTGGGCAAGCCTGACGCCATAAAAAAATTAGTCAGCTTTGTTAGAATAATTATTCTTTTTAGATTAGATTATGTAAACTCGTCTAGTCGTTTACTGTCAGTCAGGGTCTCAAAACGGAAGCCATTACCCAAAAAACATGAATCTAATCTATGGTATAAGGAAAAGTGCAGATATTTTGATCAAAATGCAAACATTCTGGATCAAACTAAAGAGTAATATGAATTTTTAATCAAATTGAAGAGGCAATTTGAAAATATCAATTGTTAATCACACTTGTAAATATTACCATGTAATGGTCCTGCATTCCCTTCGTTTTCGAAATCATTGATATCTTCCTTGAAATATGATTGTATGGCTTTATCCTCCTCCGGTAGCCAGCTGTGTCTCTTGACTTTCCTTGATGCAGCTGTCAAAGAGAATTTGTTCAAATCAAAGAAAAGGTTTGGAAATTAACATATCTACAATGTTAGAGGAATAAAATAGCTGTAATTTAATAGCTATGATTAAGCTATAACAGATGAAAAAGAGAAAAACCTAGCATTTTTAGGTTGACCTTCTACATCATAGGGCATACAATTTTAAGGTATTCGATGTATAACGAAGGGATTTTGACTGATTTTAAATAATTTTAAACTAGTTAAAAGCACACAGCTAGAAAACGGTAAAAGTGAAATAAACCAAATTCACAAGACTGATAACAAGTAAGGAGACGGTCATTTTGTATATTTACAGTTTTTGAAGAGTTATCTGCCCTTGATAAAAAGAAGAAAAGTTTTGATTTTACAATATTTCTGTGGTAAATAATTTATTTTATTTCATGTTTTAATAAAGAGGGAGGTTATGCATATTTTCACCAAGAGATTTCTTTGAAATTCAAATTACTTTTTACAATATCTTATAAAAACATGCACTGCCCATAGACTTCAATGTAAAATTCAAAGTGATATTAATTGGACAATAATCAAAATTTTGTAAATTCCTTTGGTGGAGCATTTTCATTTGATAATATCTTCAAATTGCTACCATGATTAAAAATATTGGACCGTTCATTTATTAGGTACAAAATATGGTCGTTATACATTGAATACCTTAAGTAAAATTAATCCATTTGAAGTACCAAAGCAAGGAACTAACATATTAGGTAATCCAAGATTACAGAGCTCATCTGAATGTTGTCATTAAGTAGGGCAAAGTCCCACAATTAACCAACAAAATGTGTACATCCAAAAATGCAAAATTTATGAAATTTTGATTTGATACTTTGGAATAGGCCTATATAAAAACTTCAAACTAGTTCTTCAACATGAAAACCTAATAAAAAAAAATTCTGCTTCTGAAGCAACTTTGAGAGTTTTCATCCCTTGATGCATCATTTGTGCAAGTTTGGTTTACAGAAGCCTTATTAGGGCTGGGTATTGGCCCAAGATTTTGTATTGCGATATATTGCGATAATTATAACTGTATTGCGATATATTGCGATAATTATAACTGTATTGCGATATGTATTGCAATATTTTCAATGTCATTAAAATGGCATTTTCTTACTAAATTTACTTTAATTTACATGCAGAATTTACATAACATGATAAGTAACCAACACAGAAAAAAATCTTTTGATTCCATTTTAGTTATGATCCGAAATATTCCCACTTATAAACAACTTCTGAATTACTGTTTGGCTTAAAAACAAACTATCATAAGTTCATTTTTATATTTAATGACAAAATTCTTTAATGTGAGCATATTGCCAATATATGATTTTACAAAATCGTATTGCGATACGATATTTTTTGTCATTGTATTGCAATATATTGAAATATCCATATTATTGCCCAGCCCTAAGCCTTATTATACTTTCTTAATAATAGACCTGCACCCATAACTTTAACCAGGTCCATTAACTTGAAAATGTATGTCGAATTCAGCATCTGAACACAAGTGTGCATCCTTAGATGTATCATCCATGCAAGTCTGCTTAAAATATCGCTCAAAGTTATTAAGAAATGAAACCTGTATAAAAATAACCTTTTCACTAATCCAGAAAATGTAAATCAGATTCAGCATCTGAAGCCAGCCTGGTGGAATGCTGCTTGCACCTTTAGAATTGTAATCCATGCAAGTTTGGTTACTGAAGAGCTCTAAGTTACTTGAACCTGTTCACTCAACCGGAAAATGAAGGTCAGATTCAGCATCTGAAACAAGTCGGTAGTATGCATCTTAAGATGTACCATCCAAGCAATTTTTGACATTATAGGGCTCATAGTATCTTTGAAATGAAAACTGCATCAAAAACTTTAATCTGTTCACTTAACGGGAAATGAAGATCAGATTCAACATCCGAATCAAGTCTGGTTGTATGCATCCTCAGATGTACTATATGTATCCTTGTAAGTTTGGTCATTATAGGGCTCATAGTATTTTTGAAATGAAAACTATTATGCCCCGAAAAAATTTTGGCGCATAAAATTAGGGAAACTTCAGGACAGGAATATCAGGGTTCGACATTCACGCTCGTCACCTCGTCATTTCCACCCAGAAATGATTTCGGACGACCTGATTTTCAGTCTGGCTCGCCCAAATGACGACCTGGGACAATTTGGGAATATTTAATAATGATGTTTCATATCTTAAAACAAAGTTCAAAAGACCTTGAAAACATATTTTCCTGTAACAAAACCAACCCAAACAACATGTTCAAATTGCAGCCGCGTAGATTTTTCTTCCTGCGAAATCTGCGATTGCGTTCGATCAATCAGCTGATGCAATTTTTACTTAGTCTTTAATAAAGTTTTATTTGAGATATAAAATTTGCAAACTTAGTCAACAATCACCTTAAATATAGATTGTAATATTAATAATAACTGTGACATCTTGCATTCCCCTACAACTTTCTGATCATCTGATGATCGTTTTCTGCTGCTAGACAGCCATGTTGGGTGTCCACTGTAATATAACACCTGATTAATTCAGTCCAGGGTTATTCGACTCTTTTAATTTAGGCCTTCATGGCAAGTGAAAATGAATGTTTTGAGCTGCAAACTTTAGCATTCTGCATTTCTGATTCAGCTTATATTTTTGTTTGATAAAAAAATAGAAGACATCTTTACATTCCAAAAATGTCTGGTTTACATTTATTAATACAAAAACACAACTTTTGTCAATTATCTTCAAAAATTTTTAAAAATTTTGTTTCATTTGATATTTTATTTGGACGACCTAAAATTCATTCGGGCAACCTGTGATCATACCAAGGTTGCCCAAATGGCGAGACCAAATTTTGACGAGTGTCGGTCCTGCAGGATGACATTCTTACAAGCTCCTTGAAAATTTAAAACAATTTATCAATTTAATGATTTTGGTAAAATGTTATGTTTGATTAAAGTTTCAGTTTGAGAGAATTAATATGTTTTGATTTTCTGATTATCACATATATTACTGTGTCGACAAAGTTGTTTACTGTGTCGCATGCATAAAATTTTAATCGTTAACTTACTGTGTCGGCGAAAATTTTGCTGTGTCGGGAGCAACATAGTAAAACAGCTCATGGAGAACCCTGAGATTCCATTAATGTTTATACCAGTTATCTAACACATATATATTATCTGAATTAATCAAATACCTGTATTCAAAAGATAAAACTAGATGAACATGTTTCTAACTTACATTTTAAAGATTCAATTTCACTTCCATCATCTTCTGATCCAACTGAACTGTCATCCTCACTTGAATTTGATGAATGCTCAGGATCTGTGTCTTTATTAGTTTTACCTTTTAGCCTTCTGGAAATTTTCATACTACTGGGTCCAGGCAGCTTCATAATAAAGTATTTATATTTTAATTTTTAAAAATTAAATTTAAAGCCATTTTAAATAAATTGCTAGATTCTCATCCAAATTGTTTTTTAAAAATCGAGGCAGGCGGCTTTTATTTTATATTTTTTTATTTTTTCAACTTTGCAGACTTTTATTGACCTTGTCAATCAGTGTAATTTTATCTACAATACACGAATAAGAGTCATAGTAGAGGTCCAATTATCTCATACTTCACATCATCACCAATCTTTTTCAACCAATGACCCTTCGTTTAAAATATATATATACGCATGTATTTCATCAATTACCATCTTTTCAGCTGTCAAAATCATGTCAACTTTCATGGGATTTAAAGCGAAAGTAGAATGGTAGATGAATACCGATTCCGATCTAAGAATTAAGACATAGAAAAACAGAAATAAAAAAACTGAGGCAGGGCTATAAAATCCAGCAGGCGGGGATGAGAATCTAGGAATATTTTTATTATGGCCTAATATACGTATACAATATCATAGTTAAAATATGTAATAAGAGAAGCATTTGCATTTTTTATAATAATAATAATAACTTTTAACTAGATATCATTGAGATAGTGGCCATCTCAAAGGGCGACGCTTTCAACAATGAACATGAAATGTAAGGTAGTTTAAAAGGGTTTATTTTGAAGAGGAACATTCGTGTACTACAGTAAAAGTAATTTAGTATGACTTCACAGATGATATATATATCAAAGTTATCTTGTATCCACACTTAGATAAATTAATTGGAATTAAGGGGAAAAAATAATGCACCAAATGAAAATTTTAAACAGAGAGGCAAATTCTGACCATGACCTAGAAACTTCTACCAAAGTCACTACACACCCATTGGCCAGTGGCACTCTGTGAGTGAAGTATAAGCCAGATTTGGCCAAGGAGAGAGAAGATATGCTCAGAACAAGAATTTTTCAATATAATTCTATGACCTTGACCTTTCACCTAGTTTCCATATACTAGAAACATGGTTCAATGACACTGCACACCACTTACCAAAAGGCACTCTGTGGGTGAAGTATGAGCCAGATTGAACCAAGGAGAGAGAAGATATGCTCCAGACAAGAATTTTCCATATAATTCTACTGACCTTGACCTTTGAGCTAGAAACATGGTTCAAGGTCACTGCACACTGCTTACCCAAAGGCACTCTGTGGTTGAAGTATGAGCCAGATTTAGCCAAGGAGAGAGAAGATATTCTCTGGAGAAGAGATCTTGAATGGACTGAAGGACGGACAGACAGACAGTGATCAGTAAGTTTAAAAGCTTAGTTTCATATAATAGAGGCCTTTCATCTACATATAACACATGTAATTCAATTTACACCTTTCGATTGGAAAATTAATTTATCATGATTCTGCCCTTTAATTCCAATACACCATGAGAAAGTAAATTAAAAAATTTTGCATCAATTGATCCATCGATTTGTTTGCATAATAAGGTTAAATTTGTGAAATATATTCATTTATTTTAACTTACCTCTGATGTTGAATCAACTACTTCTACAAGTTTTCTTTTTGTTCCTACAATAACAATGATGGTACTTTGTTACATGTAGGTATAAAAGGGTCCATTAACTTGTATCAATATGATCAAAGTAATACAATAAAACAAGAGGCCTAAAGCTGAGTAACTGTACAACCTATGATTTCTACTTAACGCCTTTCAGTTCAGCTGAACTTAAAAATTGACACACAGCACAAATGACTATTATCTCTTTAAGCCTTTGGCTTAAATTCTATATGATTGATACTATATATTGTTTAACGTCCCTCTTGAGAATTTTTCACTCATATGGAGACGTCACCGTATTCTGGTGAAGGGCTTCAAATTTGACCTTTACTCGGCACTCAGGGCCATTGAGCAGTGAGGGATCTTTATCGTGCCAACACCTGTCGCTGACATTGGGCCTTGGTTGTTAAGGTCTCATCCAAAGGACCCGCAACTTTCTTTTCAGAGTGCATGGCGTAGTAACAGTTGCTACCCACTTTACCGACTAGGTCAGTCGCAGCCGAGATACGAACTCACGACCTCCCGATCACGGAGCTAGCGCTCTACCGACTGAGCTATCGTGAAGGGTCCTTTGGCTTAGAAGATCTAATAATAATAAGGGTAATCATGATTTCCCCAAAACTTCTTCTCCACTTTTAAATCATATCTCAGTTTAGACATCTGTCTTTAAATACAGGTGACTTTTGGTGGCTCAATTTCAACCTCTCAAAGTTCTCTATCTTTTGAAGAGAACCTCTGGTCCCGTTTTTTTCCTCTGTATAATAACTAAGTTTATTTATCAAGTTTATTTATACCTGATCTCTCGAACTTCTGATTTTAGAAGTTTTCTTTCACTCAATCCAAAACATGGGCCCTGTCTTACATATTTCATTGAATTTTACTCTCTATCAGAACTGATAATGGATTTTCTTTACTTTCCACCTCTCGAACCTCTTGATCTCTCAAGCTTTTCTTGCAGTCCCTGAACTTTTAGAGATCCAGAAACACCTACATTATAATACAGTACAGCTCACGAGTTTCTTCCGGATTCCACCGGCCACGGTGGACCTATGTTCCACGCTTTTCCGTGGAACTTTAGAAACGTCGGCGTCTTTGAAGTTCGGTCTCCGATCCACGGTGTGACACGGTGCGTACACGGTGTGACACGGTGCCTAAAAATTGCAATAATGTTCCTCCACGGTGTGACACGGTGTGACACGGTGCCTAGAAAGTGCAGTAATGTTCGTCCACGGTGCAACACGGAGTTAATCCACGGTGCGAGTCGGTGTTCAGCATGGTGTTAAACGGCATTTTTTCCAATTCAGTGAACCTCCAATTCTTCCAATTCTACTTAAAATGTATAATTTTTCAATTCTTCAAACAAATCACTCAAAGCAGGTCCATACATATATAAAATCAAAGTAATATTCCAATGTTAAATGCACGTTTTTTGAAGACATGTTCTAAGAAAGTATATTGTTTTAATTTATTTCTAATAGATAGTATAGTAATGGATAATGCATTATTCTAATGTGTTTATTTTATACTTCTATTTCCTATTTATTCTTATTCTATAATAATGTCGAAAGAATTCCATCGTCTTAATACGTCGGTAGCGTATAACCTCTTAGGCCTGAACCTGTGCGATTGAACACAAGATGACACACCTGTATACACACGTGCCTGGTCCTGACGTAACCCACATATTATTGTTGACCCTCCCCCCCCCATTTTCACTATTACATGCACATCCCTCCTTGATTTTTTTAATATCATAAATTTGCATGGCTAAGTTCTTTTAAAATTCCTGTGTCACACATTCACTGCGATTTCTATATACATGTACATGTACCTGTTACATATTTAAATACAATGTATATAATAACAAAAATTCTCTAATTATGTAACAAAAACAGACGAAAAATAATTCATTTTAAAATTACTTGTGGGGTTATTAAAAAGACAGTATGAAACATAAAACCCCCTTTTATAAATCTCTCTCTCTCTCTCTCTCTCTCTCTCTCTCTCTCTCTCTCTCTCTCTCTCTCTCTCGGATACCAGTGGCGGATTCAGAGGGGGGTACACCAACAAACACACACCCCACCCTTGGATTTGCAAAAAAAGAAAAAGAAAGAGTCTGAAGGAAGTCCCTATTTTTTGTTGTGATTTTACTATAGAAATAAAGATTTGTTAACTGTTGTAATTATATAAAGAAATTTGGTTGCGAAAACAAAATGAAATCCCACCCCCTTAACAAAATAAGATTTTCGGGGTCGGGGATATATTTTCCTTTCTTTTACAAAAACTTTCAGGTATTAATCCATACAAATCCTTTTTCCGAGGTTGATCAACCTACCACGTTTAAAACCATACTTCATCCTATATCCCATCGAGTTGTTTAATTACATGTATATGTAAAACGTGCATTATAATTACAACTCTTTTCCCTTCAATCCCCTGTTTTTAAAAACCTTTCAACCCCACCCCCCCCCCCCCCCCTTCAAAAATTGATATAATTTCAACAATGTGTGTATTACTACTGCTTCGTACATGTACTCATTTATACAAGGTTAAAACTTTCTTTTTTCAGAAAGGGTTAATCCGTAATTTACATGACTGTACACATGTTTTGAAAATACAATTAGTCACTCAATGATTGACATATTTAAACTAAACCTCAGAAATTGTTAGGTAAATAAGGTATGATTATTTATAAAAATACGTACTAATTTTTCATCAAAAGAGACGGTTAATATCTTACATTTGCGCAGTTTCCATGTCCTATCATTTACCGAAATCAAAGTCTGTCAATTTCTTTGAAGTGATTATTACTCGGCAAATCATTGGTTAAGATAAGGATTATTCATTCAGAAATGTATATCGTATGAAAAATGAAAAAAAAAAAAAACAGTTTGCGGCGAAAACATAGATATTTAGCGATTTTAGAAATGGTTTTATCCCCCCCACACCTACCCCTTTTAGAAAGTGATACGAATCGGCTAATTAAAACTTTATCAGAAGTCAGCAAATTTATTTAAGTTTTTAAAAATCTTAATACATGCTTATTTGTGTCTGAAAAAGGATAAAAAAAAAATTATATAGTACATGTAACTTTATATTCAATGTTGTAGTGAAACCTGGAAGATGAATTTCGTTTGATATCATTTGAGTGTGTTACATGTATACAATACACTTGCTGTGATCAGAACTACAGAATGTGAAAGGTGTGATTAACATGTATTACGGCGCCCCTGGCCCACCGGCAGGGACCCAATATATTTTTTAAACAGGTGTGAACTCGGAACTGACCATGAGAATGTTTCAAATCACGAGAGAAATTCTTTCCGCGTAAACAGACTCTCAAGGTCACCTAGCGACATACGATTTTGATTGACAGGTGAATGAGTTGATGCACAAGAATCTCGTGCGTACAGCATATACATGATTCATTGCATTAAATGGGTTTAATATGAACCAAAGTTGTGGAAATTAATTAGAATTATAGAATGATTAATTTTGACTTCCGTAACCTAAATAAAACGAAGAATTTATTAAAAAAAATAATAACAGACTATGTCAGAGGGAGTTCTCTCTCTCTCTCTCTCTCTCTCTCTCTCGTATTGCTTTTAACACACTTGACAAGAAAAGAAAAACTGATTAAAATAAAAAAAATTTAAATTATTACTTGCAATAACAAAGTTACTGTAGTAAAAGACTAGTCTTTGAAAATGTTTGCTGTTACGAGAAAAACATTATACTTTAGAAATTACTGCATTTCTGAACAGATATGAAATTGAACAGATATGAAATATATTGACCAAGAAGTGACTTTGTACACTAATTAACAAGAAAATTTGCAATTCATCGATATCCAGTAAATCTGTTTTCTATAAGAAAAAAAATAGAGGTACAAATATTATGTATGTGAGAATGTGAAGAAAAAAAACTTGGATAGATGAACTTGAAAGTTAATTCTCTCTCTCTCTCTGAACATTCTAAAATGAAGAAAAGAATTAAATCAGTTTAATTATTATGAAAAAAGTAAATTATATATGATTTGTAGAATAATATTTAGAATGCTGCTTTAGCAGTTCAAGCAATTTTTTTTTATTAAAAAAAAAGTTTTCGTACTAATCGCAGACAATTTATGAACAAGAAAAGAATACCTGCGTAAACTTTTCCACATATTCGAAAGAAATTGAATTTTTCTGTCTCAAAATGTCAGGATAAATCAATGGATACATACAACTGCCAGATTTTTTTTTGTGAATGTATACAAATAGTCAACTCCCAAACTATGTACAGTGTATAAGAAATTATCTTTGAATACTAGGGTTTATTTTTCTTGTATGAATTTTTTCTTCTTCGCACGTAGCAACTTACAACTAGTATCTTCATTGATATGTGGTCAATCTATATATACTATAATATTTCTACAAAATAAGGGTATATTCATAATCTGCATGTACACTGACTCGACATTTTTTTTTATTTCACTATTTTTATTTAAGAAGTAGGAATCAGATTATGTTGAATTAGCTATCTGATACATTAGATATTTGTTAATATCCTTTTATAATAATTATTTTACAGAGAAAATAATCGCTAAAATTATCTATGTTTCGCACTGAATTAGTTAAACAGCAATGTACTGTGACAGTCTTGTACTTGGATTTTGTACATGCGGATTCATCGCTTATATCGGAAACATAATAATTTGCACAATAAATATATATAATTGTTCTTGTTTTCAAATAAATATGAAATATGAATTCAACAGAAATAAAATTTAAATTTATTCAATATACTTGGCAATCATACCGTCAATGGCGAACCAAAGTTAACACCTGGAAGCTGTTATATTATGAACCCACATGTTTGTTAACGAACTGTTTGTATTAAGTCAATCTTTATTTTTGATGTTTTTTCTAGCTATCAAATAATCATTATTTATAATTTCAAAATTCTATAAATGAAATGATTTTTATAAACAAACTATTTACTTCCGTAATTTTCTCACACGGTGGAACACGGAGGGTCCCCGAAGGAAATGGTGATGTCCACGGTGTTACACGGTGCGTCTCTGGAATGATCGCAATATACACCCACCGTGGAACACCGTGTAACACGGAGTATTTTACACCGTGTTTTTTCCACCGTGGGGTGGCAAAAACTCGTGAGCTGTACTGTATCATACAAAACAAACATCCCTTGCAGACTGGTCACACCAACAGTGTGCTCCTCTTTATTATCGAGAAATAAGTGGAAAATCCGTCGTCAATTCAGTGTATAATTAATGAACTTGCAATTAGTATGAAATATGTCAGTAGGGATTTTACACAATAGCAAATTGTATTTGCTGACAATTCAGGTCATTGTATCGACCATAGAACTTATTAACTAATGACTTTAAATGATACTGCTGATGTTACTGTTTCATCATGAATTGCATGTTTACTTATATAAGGTTATATAATTTCATAAATATTATATCTTTAGTATATCTTTTGTATTTTATTACATAATTGAAATACATACTTTCAAGGCGTAACATATGAAGGAATGGTTATGACAATATGGTTTAAATAATACACAGTTAGACCTCTACAAGTCATAAGTATCAGCCATTTACCTTTCACAAGGCCTGATGAACTGCCAGCTTTGAAAGGCTTCTTTTGCATCTGCGTAACTGTGAAAGAAAATGAAGCAATAATCTGACTCAAATGAAAATCATGACCTTTCCAGAATACCTATTACATAAATAAACAGCAGGGTTTGAATGCATAAAATATCTAAGAATTTAGCCTTTAGAAAATTTTTTGCAAATACTCTACCTTCAAAACTTTTATTTTTAACAAAACTCAATTTTTATAACATTATTTAATTTCAACAACGTTAATGTTTCATTATTCAACAAATAAACTGTGCAAAAAGCTACAAAAAAGCAACGTTTATGAGGGACTTATTCTTAAGGATATACGATCCTCAGCCAGGAAGGATAACTCTTTAAATTATAATTTAATTCAACAAGAGGCCCAGGGGCCACATCGCTCACCTGAGCAGTTGGCTAGGAAAAAGCACATACCAGATCATATCAAAACTGAAAGTTTACTGAGAAGGGGGGGGGGGGGGAAGGGGGCTTGAATTTAAACCCTTCAGGGGTCATGATATGTACAAACTTGAATCTAATCTACACAACCTAAGGATAATTCCCTATAAATATCATAAGGTTTCTTTATATATTCCTATGTAAAACTTTTATAGGTTATTTGCCCACTTGGATCTCTGTTATAATAAGAGTGAAATCTTTTAAACCACTTGACAGAATTAGACAGAAAGGATGACTACGCTTAAGGATCTGGGGGTCTTGTTGTGAATAAACTTGAATCTACACTATATAGGGATGATTCCACAGGAGTTTCATCTTTCCTATCTCAATGGTTCTTGAGAAGAAGATTTTTCCTATATATTCCTATGTAAAACTTTGATCGGCCATTTTGGCCCCATCCCTACCCCTGGGGGTCATGATTTGAACAAACTTGAATCTACACTACCTGAGGATGATTCCACATAAGTTTCATCTTTCCTGGCCCAGTGGTTCTTGAGAATAAGATGTTTAAAGATTTATCCATTACATTCCTATGTTAAACTTTGATCAGCCATTTTGGCCTTACCCTGCCCCTGGGTTGAACAAACTTGAATCTTCATTACCTGAGGATGATTCCACAAACGTTTTATCATTCCTTGCCCAGTGTTTCTTGAGAAGAAGATTTTTAAAGAATTTTCCACTATATTCCTATGTAAAACTTTGATCGGCCATTTTGGCCCCACCCTACCCCCGGGGGTCATGATATGAACAAACTTGAATCACACTACCTGAGGATGATTCCTCATAAGTTTCATCTTCCTGGCCCAGTGGTTCTTGAGAAGAAGATTTTTAAAGATTTTTTCTATATATTTCTATGTAAAACTTTGGTCGGCCATTTTGGCCCCGCCCTAACCCCAGGGGTCATGATATGAACAAACTTGAATCTACACTACCTGTGAATGCTTCCATATAAATATGATCAATTGTGGCTTTGCTATTCTCGAGAAGAAGATTTTAAAAAAATTTTCCTATATATTTCTATATAAAACTTTGGTCGGCCATTTTGGCCCCGCCCAACTACCGGGGGTCATGATATGAACAAACCTGAATCTACACTACCTGAGGATGCTTTCATATAAATATGATCAATTGTGGCTTTGTTATTCTTGAGAAGAAGATTTTAAAAGATTTTTCCTAAATATTTCTATGTAAAATTTTGGTCAGCCATTTTGGCCCCACCCAACCCCCACTCTGGGGTCATGATATGAACAAACTTGAATCTACACTACCTGAGGATGCTTTCATATAAATATGATCAACTATGGCTTTGTTATTCTTGAGAATAAGATTTTAAAAGATTTTTCCTATATATTTCTATGTAAAACTTTGGTCGGCCATTTTGGCCCCGCCCAACCCCTGGTGGTCATGATATGAACAAACTTGAATCTACACTACCTGAGGATGTTTCCCCAAAAGTTTCATCTTTCCTGGCACAGTGGTTCTTGAGAAGAAGATTTTTAAAAGATACCACAATTTTTTCATTAATTCCCAATTATCTCCCCTTGAATGAGGGCGTGGCCCTTCATTTGGACAAACTTGAATCCCCTTTACCCAAGGATGCTTTGTGGCAAGTTTGGTTAAAATTGGCCTAGTGGTTCTTGAGAAGAAGATGAAAATGTGAAAAGTTTACGACAACGACGACAACGCCGACAACGACAATGACAGACAACGGACAAATTGTGATCAGAAAAGCTCACTTGAGCCTTTGGCTCAGGTGAGCTAAAAAGTATTAAAATTAGGCTTGAAATTGAATTTTTTTCATGCAACAATTTTCATTTTATGCCTCTACGTATGATTCAATGCTCTTTAAAGTTTTAACAAACGTTGTTTAAAATGTTGACATTTGTACCTCATAAAATGAAGTAAAACTTGCTTATTTAAAAAAAAAAATCAATTTTCTTTTAATTTAGCCTTAGTTACCAATGTTTATATGCATGATTTGAAATTATAAGTGATTTACAATGTTTTCTTTGAAAGGAAACACTGCATACATTATGCATTATGAAACAATGGAAGTAAGTAGGAGAAAGTTAAGTCCAAATAATTTTAAAACTCATGCAATTTTCTTAAAAAGCCTGGATACCTATGATTTTTATCCCTAAAATGCATTTCTTGATCAATTATCAATTAAAAAATATGCAGTATGTAGTTCAAATCGCATTTCCTGAAAATTTATTCGAGATTTACTAATTTTCCCTATATAATATTATTGAATTTAAAGATGAGTTTTAAAGAAACACCGTGGGTAAATATATTTTAATTTGGGAACTTAGAGACATCTTTATGAGAATTTTCAATTACTCAATGCCTGATTTTCAGAACCTGAGGATCGGATAACCTTAAGGTGGAAGGATATTTACCAGATAATTCTGCAAATCTGCACATTTTATTAAATTTAATATCTTCGAACTTTACCTCCTGTCACACACTTTTACTTGGAAAATATTTTCCATTAATATTGCTTGGAAATATAGGTCTTAATTAAAATTTTTAGAACAAGTTTTACACCTACTTTCAACAAATTTTTCCAAAACGAAGATGTGTTAAAAAAAAAATTGAAATACAATTTACACCATTTTTTGCATGAAAATCACATATTTTGACTTGGGGCCGTTTACGCTTTATAAACCGCGAAGAGGTTTATAAAAAAGCGTATACTGCCCCAAGTTTTGTTATATCGGATAACATAAGTTGAAATTAGCTTCATTCCTTATAATTTAATTTCAGTGTAGACAATGAGACAATATTTCCACTGGAAAAAGACTTCAAATTGAGCATTATTTTAAAAGTAACGTCAAGCGGAGTAATACGTTTTGACGTAACTCATTGTGACGTAGGCAAGTTATGTTATCCAAAATATTATATGTTCCTCTGAATGATTCAGCCAATGAAACAGTTTGATACAAGTGAAATTAAATTATGTTGAAATTATCATCACTTACCCCAACTTTTTTTTCATTATTTCTAAGTACTCAATACTTGTGACTGATCAGCACTTAAAAGTTGTAATAAGCTTGATTTAAGAAAAAGTTTTATTGCCTTCTTAGTTTTCCGATAAGTACTTTATATTTTCGAATATCTTACTTTTTAGTTCAAAAGGGTCACACAATAATTCATGTGCATTCAAAATTTGTTCAATGATAAACATTGTTCAAAATATCTAACCTAAAATAAAGTTACCCCAAAGTCAAGTTCAATTTTCACGTTTTCCAATTTATGGCTTAATTTCCATACAATTGCAGATTAAGCACTATATAGGATGCCCTTATTCCTGAACTATTGAAAATGACCTAAGGTGCGCTTATAGAGACAGGGGCATTTAATCTGAATTTTACAGTTACTGTATTATAAAAGGAAAATAGCTTACCATCAAGCATTTTTAGAGTATCCAAGGCAGTAATCCAGGCATCTTTTGTAAAGTACTTCTTAGCACCAGCTTGAACTTTCTTATCAAAAAGTAAATCCTTTCTATGCTTTAAATCCTCTATTAGAATAGTAACATCCTCCTCCTGAACCTGTCTCGTAGAATCCAGCAGTTCCAACACGGAGACATCTTGTGCCATCAAGCCTAAGAATTCTGCAACATAATTATATGAGATACATGTACTAAATATTTGTTAAATGATTCTCAGTCAAGCTTTTCTTCTAGTGATAATGGAGACCCAAGGGTAAAAATCTCATTGTCAGACATACTTAATTAAATAATTTTAGTAGAATAAAATCTTAAAATTAAGATAAAAGTTTAACTAGAACTGTTCAATAGGAACAAATACCCCCGCTAGGTTTTTCAGAGTAGATGCCAATCACAAATATTTATGGATTTATTAAGGTGTTGAAACTATTTAATACGTAAATACAATTTATTATTGAATGAAATGCTGACTGACGTTTTTCATACCAATTGTTATTCCATTATTTATACACTGAATTGATGACGGATTTTTTCCGTTATTTCCTAATTATGACAACGAGCACACGGCAGGTGTGACCGGTCGGCAGGGGATGCTCACTCCTCCATGGCACCTGATCCCACCTCTGATGTTTCGGAGGTCCGTGTTTGCTCTGCTCTTATTTTGTATATTGTTTAATGGACGTTGAGATTGAGTACTGTTCGTTATTTCCATATCCTTCATAGTAAGCCTTAACAGTGCTGTGAATTGCTCATTATATACTTTTTTTAATTTATGAAACTAAGTTGCAACCAAATAAAATATCAATACACGGTAATTTTTTTTTTTTTTTTTTTTTTTTTTTTAAAATAAATTGCAACTATTTGTCATGATACTTTGCAGATTGATTGTTGTAAAAAAACATTAAACAGAAGCAAATTAATCTTTTTACATTTATATCAAATTCATTCTAAAAAAAATAAAGTGCACCACCTCAGCATGATACTTTCATCAAATATTGTTCATTCAATTATTATAAACAGTTTAGAGTGCAAGTAAATCTAATCAACCTTTAAAAGGACTTCCATAATGTTTCCTTATTCATTATAATAATTGTTTAATCATCTCACGTGGTTTAACCATTAATATATAACAAATCATCATCAACTGGTTGCAATTAAAGCTTGACAAATGCCCCTGCAGCTACAGAAAATATGAACTGATCTTTTTTTTATAAAAAAGAAGAAAAATATATGTTTACAACTTAGGTATTAGATGTGTACAAGCATTGTTGAAGAATAAATTTTTCTTTTTTATTTCCTTATCTATAGTGTTTGAAGGCTTTAATTCCAAAGTTACATGAAGTTAGTTTCCAGACATATTTGAAAAAAAAATAGAATTTTCAAATCATACCCCCACTGTCAGAAACAGGGAATGGTGTGTTATACCAGAAGAGGAATTCTGAAAATAAATTAATTTTCAGACAGTGATTTTACTTTTGATGAACAAAAATAATAAAAGATTTCTTTTTCAAAAGTTACAATTAACTAGTTAAATTTCCAGAATAAAATACATTACTCAATGTTAAGTGTGTTTTTCTTATAAAAACAAATTATTTTAATTTTTTTAATTTAAAAAAAAAGAGGGGGTTAAAAATAACTTTGATAGAAAATGGCTCTAATCAATGTTGTACAATAATAAGATATATAGAATATTTTTCACCAGGATATTTTGGAGCAATTAAGCATTAAAGTTTGCTACCCCCTACCCCCATCCGTTTGCTGACACACAAATATAACTTTTTATTCTCAACACTATTAGTATGAATATGCAATACTTATCTATTGATAAGTGTATAAAACAACATAAATAAATAAGCCTTATGACATTTTTACATGTAACAATGTCCTTGACCTTTTAACCTTGGAAAAAATGTATTTATACACTTTAACGCTTGTACAAGAACAATGCTGGAAGAAAAACAAGAGGCCCACGGGCCTTATAGGTCACCTGTGCATCATGCAATAACTTTCAAATGATTGAATTTGTTTCATGTTTTAAGCTAGATGCTAAGGCATTCACAATTTTGGAAGAGGCACTCTTGCTCAACATAACTATATACTTAGTAAGTTTATTTAAAACCTAGGAGAAGAAGATTTTCAAAGATTTAATGCATTTTCACTATATAATCAATAGAGCCCCGCCCTAACACCAGAACCGTGACCCTGGGGCCATTAAATTCACAATTTTGGTAGAGGCACTCTTGCTCATTATAACTATGTACTTATAAGTTAGTTTATTTAAAACCTAGGAGCAGAGAAGATTTTCAAAGATATAATGCAATTTCACTTTATAATCAATAGAGCCCCACCCTAACACCAGAACCCCTGACCCTGGGGCCATTAATTTCACAATTTTGGTAGAGGCACTCTTGCTCATCATAATTATTTACTGAATTAGTGTATTTAATACTTAGGAGCAGAGAAGAAGATTTTCAAAGATTTAATATATTTTCATTATATAATCAATATAGAGCTCCGCCCTAACACCAGAACCCTGACCCTGGGGCCATGAATTTCACAATTTTGGTAGAGGCACTCTTGCTCATCATAATTATTTACTGAATTAGTGTTTTTTATACCTAGGAGCAGAGAAGAAGATTTTCAAAGATTTAATATATTTTCATTATATAATCAATATAGAGCTCCGCCCTAACACCAGAACCCCTGACCCTGGGGCCATAAAATTCACAATTTATGAAGAGCCTTTCTTGCTCATCATAACTATGTGCTTAATTAGTTTATTTAATACTCAGGAACAGAGTAGAAGATTTTCAAAGAAATAATGCATTTTCACTTTATAATCAATAAAGCCCCACCCTAACACCAGAACCCCTGACCCTGGGGCCATAAAATTCACAATTTATGAAGAGCCACTCTTGCTCATCATTACTATGAACTTAATTTGTTTATTTAATACCCAGGAGCAGAGAAGAAGATTTTTAAAGACTTACTGTATTTTCACTATATAATCAATAGAGCCCCGCCCTAACACCAGAACCCCTGACCCTGGGGCCATGAATTTCACAATTTTGGTAGAGGACTCAATGCTGATTACAATCATACCAACAGTGTGACTGCTTGATGTCCGGGAGTAAAGAAGAAGATTTTTAAAGATTGCACTATTTTTAGTGGTTTTTGCCCCACCCCCCAGGCCCCAGGGGGGCGGGGACCACGAAATTCACAATTTTTGTTCCCCTTCACTCATAGATGCTATATGCCAAATTTGGTTGAAATTGGTTCAGTGGTTTCAGAGAAGAAGCTGAAAATGTTTAAATGTTAACGCACGACGCACGACGCACAACGCACGACGCACGACGACGGACAAAAACGGATAGCAATAGGTCACCTGAGTTTACTCAGGTGACCTAAAAATGTAGTACTACATGTAATCTATTTTATTAATTTCCGTCTCTGTTACGGGTATTTCATAAACCTTTAATTTAGAACCAGGAAGATTTTTTTTTTCATTTTGGAAATACATC